TCTAGTCATTTCATTTGAGGTGTTCTCGCATGCCTTCGCGGACACTTGGTGGCGGAAGCGTCCAACCACCTCGCCGCTGCCATTTGTGATGCGCTTCAACCAAGATGCAAATATGCGTTTTCACAGGAAACGACTTCCGATTGGCTCAACGTGACACGCTGTGTGGCCACTGGGAATCTCCATTTTAATGCAGAATATGCAAAGCCACATACAATTGTCAAGCTTAATCAAATTATAATGCTCGACGGGCGCCACCCGCGTATTAAATGCTAGAGGTTTTCCAGGTCAAGACTGTTGCTATCGGCGATGGGCAAGAGCTGGCATTTTCGACCGAGGTTTCGCGTAAGAAAAGTCCGTCCGCTTCTCCAAACGGCCCGCTGCGTCCTTGGACATGCTCAGGTGAGAAGCGGCCATACGTGGTACCGCATCAACGATCTTGCGCGAGTCGCATGGACGTGGCTTTTTGCGTCGACGACTGCTCCGCCGCGCGTTGCTGCCGCTCGAGGAGCGCGCGGAGCTTGAGGCAAGGGTACATTTTTTTTTCTGAGTTTACTCGAATAGCGCTTGGCTTAGAGGCGCTAGACAACCGTCGATTGCTTGTGCACCTGCGTTGTGAGCCGCGGCATGGGTCGTCGGCAACGAAGCCTCGCTCGATGCCGCCAATTGCTGCGCGTTGGCGTGCACTTGCGTCTGCAGTTCGTGCACCTGTTGCTGCTACTCCGCCTTGAGTTTCACTTGGCGCTAGAGGCGCGCGCACTCGGCGCAGAGCGACTTGGTTTCGGCGCGAGCGCATCTTCGTCGAGCTCCTGGAGCCCAACGTCCAAGTGGTGGTCGAGGCCTTGCTGCAACTGCGCCAAATCGCCTTGGGCCGTCGCGACGTCTTTTGTGAGCGGCGCCACCGTCGCTTCGAGCAACTGGCTGGTGTGCGCGAGCGTCGCGTGCTTGCGGCTCCGGTCCTCGAGCTTGGCGTTGCGTGTAAAGATGCGGATGTCTTTCTTCGCGATGCTTCGTGAGCTCTCGGCGAGCTGCGACTGCAGGAGGGTGTCCTTGTCGTTTCCAGGCGCAACTGAGTCAAGCGCACGTGGTTACGAAGCGTCTGCTTGGGCCGCAGCGTCATCGTACGTGGTCTTCCAGTTCGCTGCGACGGCATCGTGCTTGACGTAGAGCGCCTCGAGCTCGGTGTGGAGGGACTCGAGAAGCAACTCTTTTCGGTCAACGCTTGTCGACGCCGTCGCGCAGTCGAGATCATCCTTGGCCGCGAGCATCGTCTCGAGCTCACGGTTTGCGTGCATTTGGGCTTGGCACTCGGTCTGGAGCGTCGCCATCAAGGTCTTCTACTGCGAGACCGACGCGCCGAGGGCTTGGGCGGCGTCTGGAATGCCGAGGGCTTGGGCGGCGTCTGGAACGCCGAGCCGCTCGCGGTCGGCTGCTCACCGAGTAGCCTACAGACAAGGTCATGAGGCGATGGCCGGCGAGGATGCGTGTACCTTCGCAGGCGGTCCATCTCGGCGGCCTACTGCACCTCGCACTGGCGCAGGACGTGGAGCTGCTTGGCGAGCATGTCGAGCTCGGCCTTCTCGGGGATGGAGAGGCAGGAGACCTCGCCGACTCGGCCGTCGGTGGCGTCGCGTACGACGGACTGCACGGCCGCCACATCGTCGTCGTCCTGTGGCATTGTGGGCATCGTGTGGAACCAGAAATCGCCTTGGGTTAAACTCGTCCAATCAAAGCGCTTTTAATTTAAATGAGGCATTGTACTACCTATTAGTATGCAACATAAAACCAAGGAATTGTACGACGCGTTTGGAGGCGGGGTAAACGTTTTACCCCGCCTGGACGAGGAGTTTTACCGTAAAACGCCTCGTCGCTGATTGGCTATAACGATGACACGGTTTGATTGATCGCGTTTGGCGTCAAGGCCGCGGACAACACCCTCGAGTGCACGACTACAACATTGTACTAGCTGCCGCGAATTACACGAGGGTTCGATCTGTGTACAACTTGTCTGCGTGTGGACCGGAGGACGGTACTGTCCACAGTATAACTGTTTAAAGTAACAGTCCATACGCTGGTGGCGGGTTTCCGCTTGTATCCAAGCAGAGGCGAGAGCACGCATCGCTCACTGTCCATCTACCTTCGAGACGCCGGTTTGGACTAGCGCGTCGCCACAGCCAAGGCCATGGGTGCCTACATCCCAAGCGCTATGCAGGGTATGCTGCCGGTCGCGCAGCGCTTGGGCCCACGAATGCCGCCTACCAGTTACCAGTTTGGTATCCCACCCAACGTCCGTGTATGCTGTCTGAGTTGTCGCAGCGCTATTGCGCGACGTCCTCTCGGCCGTCCTCGCTCTCTGCGAGGCGCACCGCGCGTTCTTGTCGCTGCACGTCGAGTCGCTTGGCAGGCTCGCCCTTTTCGAAATTGCTGGGACATTGCTCACTGTGCTTAGCAGTGCAACTGTCCAAGTCATCGGGCCCGAAGCGCCCGAAGAGCCCGATTCGAGCTGCTGCTCCAACGACTATGTATGTAGAAACCCACGTCCTTCTCCCACTACTTTAGGGCCGTACTTATCGATCTTGTTGGCCCATTCGGTCCCATTCCGGCGTTGGTGGTAGCCTGCTACTCCGCGTCGCGCCCGCTACGATGCTACTTCTTGTTGCCGTCGATCGCCAAGCTGCATG